GAAAATTTCGCGCCTATGACGCCTACATTAGCCTTGAATCAGGCAGCAATGATTGAGGCGAAGAGACACCGCAACAATCAGAATATAATAAATCGTCCAATAAGCAGAATAACCCCGAAAATGCCCAACGACACAGCGATCTTGAAGAAGATTGACCTAAAATTTGTTATAAATTCATTGTGCTGCTTAAGCTTATGTCTGAAAGAGGCAGTACCTCCTGTTCAATGCTTTAGCGTCCTCCCTGTACTTCTTGCTCAGTCCAGACAAATCGGAAGCTTTTGCTTCAAGAACTGCAAAAGACATATATGTCTTTTGTATGATCGGCCGATAAACAGAAAACTCACTATTCAAAGCCTCTCCTCTGTGAATGACATCTTCTATGTTGCTGACCATGATACGAGCAACATCTTGCAATTCATTCGAAACTGCTGACATGGCATACCTACCTCTATCCGCATACTTCTTCTTTGCTTGTTGGATATATTGATCTGAAAGTGTGAAGTACAAAGCATGAACAGGAAGGAAAAAAAGAACGTACCGAATTCGAGAAAATGATACGGCCGTACAACTTGATCGATTCTTGTTGCATTCTGGTTCAAAAACTCCTGAGAAACGTCTTCAAGGTAGGCGAAGGCAAGCTTTCGAGGAAACGAATGTTGACACAAACACAAACAGCATATAGCGTCTTTAATGACATAGCTAAAATATTTCATACTGAATCACAAGACATCAATGCTCATCTTTGTGCTTATAAAAAGTTGCGTTAAGTATTAATGTAAAAAAAAAAATTCCTGTGCGCAACCGGGATTGTCTAGCAAAAAACCTAAACCAACTCAAGGTTACCAATTATTCTGATTATCAGTCAAAAAAGGTAAGTGAAGAAAAATAATGATTCTCATTTCTCATCTAATGCTTGTTGATCCTTTGACGCCAGTTCTAGTTCTCTAACGAAAAAGGTAGTCGTTTTGGACCATCCATTACTATTCACTGCAAATTGTCCCCGTTAGTCAAAAAAAAATCTCGGACTTTTTAAAAATAATTTCAAGGCAGCTAAAGTAGATATGCGTATT